CAATTCAGAAATTAATGTGATGCATGTTTTATGTCAAATCCTAAATTGGAGACTAGAATATTTACAATTACTTAACTTATTACAGTAAATATTTGAATAAAAGAAATGTTCGACAAATTTGTAATAAAATTTTAAACTGTTGTTCAACGGGAAAACTGATTTTTGTTACCCAACACATATAAAAAGAGTTAAAAGTACAATTATAATGACCAAATACCTACATGATACAAATCTTCGTGTGCTGTATACCATGAAAGCATCTTCATTGTCTAGGAGGGTAACATATCTAGTCTGTATCTGTAACAAAAACTCTAAATCAGTATCAGCTTTAAATAGAGAATATTGGTTGTTGCAATTAATTCAAAATTAATATGATGCATTTTTGATGAAAAATCCTAATTTGAAGACAAGTATATAAACAATTTCTATACATTATCATTAAAATAATCTTCATAAGAGTATACATTTTAATTGAAGAAATTTTAAATCAATTTGTAATCAAATCTAATTTAAGCTTCCAGGGAAAACTTATTTTTGTTACCTGCAAACCATATAAACATAGTTTAAAGTACAATTAAAAATACCAAATACCTACATGCTACGTATCCAGATGTGTGATCAATCTACCATGAAACCATCTTCATTGTCTAGGAGTGTAACATATTTAGGCTGTATCTATAACAAAACCAAATCATCAATTAGTATCAGCTTCAAATAGAGACTATTGGCTGTTGCAACAATTATAAAATAAATGTCACTCATATTTTATGTCAAATCCTAAATTGGACACAAGAATATTTAAAATTACTACGCATTCATGTTAAAATTTACTTCACTAGATTATAAATTTGAACAAAAGAAATATGTACACTAATTTCAAATAATATTTTATTTAAGCTTTTGTTCCAGAGAAAACTGATATTTATTACCCAACACATATAAACATAGTCTAAAGTACAAATGTAATGACTACCTACATGTTAAACATCCTAATGTGCATCTACCATGAAACCATATTCATTGGGTAGGAGTGGAACATATCTGGGCTGTATCTGTTACAAAAGAAAAAATTTAAATTAGCATCAGCTTTAGAGAATATTTAATGGCTGTTAAAAAAATTAAAAAATTAATGTGATTCATGTTTTATGTCAAATCTTAAATTGCGGACAATTAATTTACAATTACTCTTTCATTCTTATTAAAATATACCACATTTGAAATTCGAATAAAAGATATTTTAGACCAATCTGTAATAAAATTTTAAGCTATTGTTTCAGTGAAAACAGATTTTTATTGACTTCCAAATATTAACATAGTTTTAAGTACAATTGTAATGACCAAATACTTACATGTTGACTCTTCCTATCTGCCATGAATCCATCTTCTCTGTCTAGGAGTGCAACATATTTAGATGTATCTTTAACAAAAACTATAAATTAATATCAGCTTTAAATACAGACTATTTGCTGTTCCAATTTTTTCAGAATTTAATCTTTGCATGTTGGACAAGAATATTTATAATTACTATACATTCCATTAAGAATATATTTCATTAGAGTATAAATTTGAAGAAATTTTTTTGAGACCAATTTGTAATAAAGTTTCAAATTGGTTGATAATGAAATAGAGCCAGACAAAAAAACTAAATACATTTTACCATAAACACAAGTTATCATACTATGTAATCAGCTCTGCTGGGGGATCTGCTTTTACGAGATTTGCGCCCATTAAATTCATCAATGTTATATCAAAATCTAAAGTTTGCTCTCTGCAGAGGTCTGCTTTTACGAGACCCATTTTAACATAAAGCATCTTTTTGTCAAACTGTTCAGGAAAAAACGGATTTTTATTACCTAACAAACATAAACATAGTTTTAAGAACAATTGTAATGACCAAATACCTACATGTGCAACATCCTAATGTGTGAAAGCATCTTTCATGGTATAGGAGTGTTACATATTAAGGCTGTATAATCTGTAACAAAAACAAAAATTATTAATAGTTTACGCTTTAAATCCAGACTCTTTGCTGTTGCAATCAATTCAGAAAATACTGTGATGCATGTTTTATGTTAAATCCCAAAATAGAGAAAAGTATATAATTACAATTACTATACGTTCTTATTAAAATATTCAGCATTAAGAGTATAAATTTGAATGAAAGAAATTTTAGACCAATTTGTTATAAAGCTTCAATCTGTTGTTTCAGGAAAAAACAGATTTTTATTACCTAACAAATATAAATACAGTTTGAAGGAAAATTGTAATGACCAAATACGTACATGTGACTTATCCTAATGTGCATCTGCAATGGAAGCATCTTTCATGGTATAGGAGTCTTACATATTCAGGCTGTATCTGTAATGAAAACAAAAAAAATAAACATTAATTTCAGCTTTTAATCCAGACTATTTGCTGTTGCAATCAATTCAGAAATTAATGTGATGCATGTTGTAATGTCAAATCCTTAATTGGAGACAAGAATTTTTACAATCACTATACATTCTTATTAAAATATATCTCATTACAGTGAATATTTCAATAAATGTAATGTAGGACCAATTTGTAATAAAATTTCAAGCTGTTGTTCCAGGAAAAACTGATTTTTATTACCTAACAAATATAAACATAGTTTTAAGAACAATTGTTATGAATAAAAACCTACATGTGACTAATCCTAATGTGCTATCTGCAATGGAAGCATCTTTCATGGTATAGGAGTCTTACATATTTAGGCAGAATCTGTAACAAAAACAAATATTTTAAATTAGTTTCAGCTTTAAATTCAAAGCTATTTGCTGTTGCAATCAATTCAGAAATTAATGTGATGCATGTTTTATGTCAAATCCTAAATTGGAGACGTATATTTACAATAACTATACATTCTTATTAAAATATACTTCATTAGGATATAAATAGGAATAAAAGAAATTTTAGACCAATTTGTTATAAAGCTTCAATCTGTTGTTTCAGTGAAAACTGATTTTAATGCCTAACAAATACTAGAGGCTCTAAGGAGCCTGTGTCGCTCACCTGATATTTTTATTTACAATTGATGCATGAAATAATGCAACCGTTATACATTTGCTTTAGTTTCAGAGATACAAGTCAAATACTGCATTTCCCCCAAAGTTCTATTTTTAGCCATGTCTGACATGTTGGTTGACAGGCAGGGTCATCGGACACATTTATTAAACTAGATACCCTAGTGATGAATGTGGCCAAGTTTGGTTAAATTTGTCTCAGTTGTTTCAGGAGAGAAGATTTTTGTAAAAGATTACAAAAATTTACGAATAATTGTTAAATTTGACTTTAAAGGGCAATAACTCCTTATGGGGTCAATTGACCATATTGGTCATGTTGACTTCTTTGTAGATCTGACTTTGCTGAACATAATGGCTGTTTACAGTTTATCTCCATCTATAATAATATTCAAGATAACAAAAAACTGCAAAATTTCCTTAAAATTACTAATTCAGGGGCAGCAACCCAACAAAGGGTTGTCTGATTCATCTGAAAATTTCAGGGCAGATAGATCTACACCTGATGAACATTTTTACCCATGGTCAGATTTGCTCTAAATGCTTTAGTTTCAGAGATATAAGCCAAAAACTGCATTTTACCCCTATGTTCTATTTTTAGCCATGTCGGCCATCTTGGTTGGCAGGCGGGGTCATCGGACACATTTTAAAACGAGATACCCTAGTGATGATTGTGGCCAAGTTTGGTTAAATTTGGCCCAGTAGTTTCAGAGGAGATTTTGGTAAAAGTTAACGGACGACGACGGATGCCAAGTGATGAGAAAAGCTCACTTGGCCCTTTGGGCCAGGTGAGCTAATAAACCTAGTTTAAATAAAAAAATTGTAATGAATAAATACCTACATGTGACTAATCCTAATGTGCTATCTACAATGAAACCATTTTCATTGTCGAAGAGTGTAACATATTTAGGCGTTATCTGTAACAAAAACAAAAGTTGTAAATTAGTATCAGCTTTAAATAGGGAATATTTGATGTTGCAATCAATTCAGAAATTAATGTGATGCATGTTTTATGTCAAATCCTAAATTGGAGACTAGAATATTTACAATTACTTAACTTATTACAGTAAATATTTGAATAAAAGAAATGTTCGACAAATTTGTAATAAAATTTTAAACTGTTGTTCAACGGGAAAACTGATTTTTGTTACCCAACACATATAAAAAGAGTTAAAAGTACAATTATAATGACCAAATACCTACATGATACAAATCTTCGTGTGCTGTATACCATGAAAGCATCTTCATTGTCTAGGAGGGTAACATATCTAGTCTGTATCTGTAACAAAAACTCTAAATCAGTATCAGCTTTAAATAGAGAATATTGGTTGTTGCAATTAATTCAAAATTAATATGATGCATTTTTGATGAAAAATCCTAATTTGAAGACAAGTATATAAACAATTTCTATACATTATCATTAAAATAATCTTCATAAGAGTATACATTTTAATTGAAGAAATTTTAAATCAATTTGTAATCAAATCTAATTTAAGCTTCCAGGGAAAACTTATTTTTGTTACCTGCAAACCATATAAACATAGTTTAAAGTACAATTAAAAATACCAAATACCTACATGCTACGTATCCAGATGTGTGATCAATCTACCATGAAACCATCTTCATTGTCTAGGAGTGTAACATATTTAGGCTGTATCTATAACAAAACCAAATCATCAATTAGTATCAGCTTCAAATAGAGACTATTGGCTGTTGCAACAATTATAAAATAAATGTCACTCATATTTTATGTCAAATCCTAAATTGGACACAAGAATATTTAAAATTACTACGCATTCATGTTAAAATTTACTTCACTAGATTATAAATTTGAACAAAAGAAATATGTACACTAATTTCAAATAATATTTTATTTAAGCTTTTGTTCCAGAGAAAACTGATATTTATTACCCAACACATATAAACATAGTCTAAAGTACAATTGTAATGACTACCTACATGTTAAACATCCTAATGTGCATCTACCATGAAACCATATTCATTGGGTAGGAGTGGAACATATCTGGGCTGTATCTGTTACAAAAGAAAAAATTTAAATTAGCATCAGCTTTAGAGAATATTTAATGGCTGTTAAAAAAATTAAAAAATTAATGTGATTCATGTTTTATGTCAAATCTTAAATTACGGACAATTAATTTACAATTACTCTTTCATTCTTATTAAAATATACCACATTTGAAATTCGAATAAAAGATATTTTAGACCAATCTGTAATAAAATTTTAAGCTATTGTTTCAGTGAAAACAGATTTTTATTGACTTCCAAATATTAACATAGTTTTAAGTACAATTGTAATGACCAAATACTTACATGTTGACTCTTCCTATCTGCCATGAATCCATCTTCTCTGTCTAGGAGTGCAACATATTTAGATGTATCTTTAACAAAAACTATAAATTAATATCAGCTTTAAATACAGACTATTTGCTGTTCCAATTTTTTCAGAATTTAATCTTTGCATGTTGGACAAGAATATTTATAATTACTATACATTCCATTAAGAATATATTTCATTAGAGTATAAATTTGAAGAAATTTTTTTGAGACCAATTTGTAATAAAGTTTCAAATTGGTTGATAATGAAATAGAGCCAGACAAAAAAACTAAATACATTTTACCATAAACACAAGTTATCATACTATGTAATCAGCTCTGCTGGGGGATCTGCTTTTACGAGATTTGCGCCCATTAAATTCATCAATGTTATATCAAAATCTAAAGTTTGCTCTCTGCAGAGGTCTGCTTTTACGAGACCCATTTTAACATAAAGCATCTTTTTGTCAAACTGTTCAGGAAAAAACGGATTTTTATTACCTAACAAACATAAACATAGTTTTAAGAACAATTGTAATGACCAAATACCTACATGTGCAACATCCTAATGTGTGAAAGCATCTTTCATGGTATAGGAGTGTTACATATTAAGGCTGTATAATCTGTAACAAAAACAAAAATTATTAATAGTTTACGCTTTAAATCCAGACTCTTTGCTGTTGCAATCAATTCAGAAAATACTGTGATGCATGTTTTATGTTAAATCCCAAAATAGAGAAAAGTATATAATTACAATTACTATACGTTCTTATTAAAATATTCAGCATTAAGAGTATAAATTTGAATGAAAGAAATTTTAGACCAATTTGTTATAAAGCTTCAATCTGTTGTTTCAGGAAAAAACAGATTTTTATTACCTAACAAATATAAATATAGTTTGAAGGAAAATTGTAATGACCAAATACGTACATGTGACTTATCCTAATGTGCATCTGCAATGGAAGCATCTTTCATGGTATAGGAGTCTTACATATTCAGGCTGTATCTGTAATGAAAACAAAAAAAATAAACATTAATTTCAGCTTTTAATCCAGACTATTTGCTGTTGCAATCAATTCAGAAATTAATGTGATGCATGTTGTAATGTCAAATCCTTAATTGGAGACAAGAATTTTTACAATCACTATACATTCTTATTAAAATATATCTCATTACAGTGAATATTTCAATAAATGTAATGTAGGACCAATTTGTAATAAAATTTCAAGCTGTTGTTCCAGGAAAAACTGATTTTTATTACCTAACAAATATAAACATAGTTTTAAGAACAATTGTTATGAATAAAAACCTACATGTGACTAATCCTAATGTGCTATCTGCAATGGAAGCATCTTTCATGGTATAGGAGTCTTACATATTTAGGCAGAATCTGTAACAAAAACAAATATTTTAAATAAGTTTCAGCTTTAAATTCAAAGCTATTTGCTGTTGCAATCAATTCAGAAATTAATGTGATGCATGTTTTATGTCAAATCCTAAATTGGAGACGTATATTTACAATAACTATACATTCTTATTAAAATATACTTCATTAGGATATAAATAGGAATAAAAGAAATTTTAGACCAATTTGTTATAAAGCTTCAATCTGTTGTTTCAGTGAAAACTGATTTTAATGCCTAACAAATACTAGAGGCTCTAAGGAGCCTGTGTCGCTCACCTGATATTTTTATTTACAATTGATGCATGAAATAATGCAACCGTTATACATTTGCTTTAGTTTCAGAGATACAAGTCAAATACTGCATTTCCCCCAAAGTTCTATTTTAAGCCATGTCTGACATGTTGGTTGACAGGCAGGGTCATCGGACACATTTATTAAACTAGATACCCTAGTGATGAATGTGGCCAAGTTTGGTTAAATTCGTCTCAGTTGTTTCAGGAGAGAAGATTTTTGTAAAAGATTACAAAAATTTACGAATAATTGTTAAATTTGACTTTAAAGGGCAATAACTCCTTATGGGGTCAATTGACCATATTGGTCATGTTGACTTCTTTGTAGATCTGACTTTGCTGAACATAATGGCTGTTTACAGTTTATCTCCATCTATAATAATATTCAAGATAACAAAAAACTGCAAAATTTCCTTAAAATTACTAATTCAGGGGCAGCAACCCAACAAAGGGTTGTCTGATTCATCTGAAAATTTCAGGGCAGATAGATCTTCACCTGATGAACATTTTTACCCATGGTCAGATTTGCTCTAAATGCTTTAGTTTCAGAGATATAAGCCAAAAACTGCATTTTACCCCTATGTTCTATTTTTAGCCATGTCGGCCATCTTGGTTGGCAGGCGGGGTCATCGGACACATTTTAAAACGAGATACCCTAGTGATGATTGTGGCCAAGTTTGGTTAAATTTGGCCCAGTAGTTTCAGAGGAGATTTTGGTAAAAGTTAACGGACGACGACGGATGCCAAGTGATGAGAAAAGCTCACTTGGCCCTGTGGGCCAGGTGAGCTAATAAACCTAGTTTAAATAAAAAAATTGTAATGAATAAATACCTACATGTGACTAATCCTAATGTGCTATCTACAATGAAACCATTTTCATTGTCGAAGAGTGTAACATATTTAGGCGTTATCTGTAACAAAAACAAAAGTTGTAAATTAGTATCAGCTTTAAATAGGGAATATTTGATGTTGCAATCAATTCAGAAATTAATGTGATGCATGTTTTATGTCAAATCCTAAATTGGAGACTAGAATATTTACAATTACTTAACTTATTACAGTAAATATTTGAATAAAAGAAATGTTCGACAAATTTGTAATAAAATTTTAAACTGTTGTTCAACGGGAAAACTGATTTTTGTTACCCAACACATATAAAAAGAGTTAAAAGTACAATTATAATGACCAAATACCTACATGATACAAATCTTCGTGTGCTGTATACCATGAAAGCATCTTCATTGTCTAGGAGGGTAACATATCTAGTCTGTATCTGTAACAAAAACTCTAAATCAGTATCAGCTTTAAATAGAGAATATTGGTTGTTGCAATTAATTCAAAATTAATATGATGCATTTTTGATGAAAAATCCTAATTTGAAGACAAGTATATAAACAATTTCTATACATTATCATTAAAATAATCTTCATAAGAGTATACATTTTAATTGAAGAAATTTTAAATCAATTTGTAATCAAATCTAATTTAAGCTTTCAGGGAAAACTTATTTTTGTTACCTGCAAACCATATAAACATAGTTTAAAGTACAATTAAAAATACCAAATACCTACATGCTACGTATCCAGATGTGTGATCAATCTACCATGAAACCATCTTCATTGTCTAGGAGTGTAACATATTTAGGCTGTATCTATAACAAAACCAAATCATCAATTAGTATCAGCTTCAAATAGAGACTATTGGCTGTTGCAACAATTATAAAATAAATGTCACTCATATTTTATGTCAAATCCTAAATTGGACACAAGAATATTTAAAATTACTACGCATTCATGTTAAAATTTACTTCACTAGATTATAAATTTGAACAAAAGAAATATGTACACTAATTTCAAATAATATTTTATTTAAGCTTTTGTTCCAGAGAAAACTGATATTTATTACCCAACACATATAAACATAGTCTAAAGTACAATTGTAATGACTACCTACATGTTAAACATCCTAATGTGCATCTACCATGAAACCATATTCATTGGGTAGGAGTGGAACATATCTGGGCTGTATCTGTTACAAAAGAAAAAATTTAAATTAGCATCAGCTTTAGAGAATATTTAATGGCTGTTAAAAAAATTAAAAAATTAATGTGATTCATGTTTTATGTCAAATCTTAAATTACGGACAATTAATTTACAATTACTCTTTCATTCTTATTAAAATATACCACATTTGAAATTCGAATAAAAGATATTTTAGACCAATCTGTAATAAAATTTTAAGCTATTGTTTCAGTGAAAACAGATTTTTATTGACTTCCAAATATTAACATAGTTTTAAGTACAATTGTAATGACCAAATACTTACATGTTGACTCTTCCTATCTGCCATGAATCCATCTTCTCTGTCTAGGAGTGCAACATATTTAGATGTATCTTTAACAAAAACTATAAATTAATATCAGCTTTAAATACAGACTATTTGCTGTTCCAATTTTTTCAGAATTTAATCTTTGCATGTTGGACAAGAATATTTATAATTACTATACATTCCATTAAGAATATATTTCATTAGAGTATAAATTTGAAGAAATTTTTTTGAGACCAATTTGTAATAAAGTTTCAAATTGGTTGATAATGAAATAGAGCCAGACAAAAAAACTAAATACATTTTACCATAAACACAAGTTATCATACTATGTAATCAGCTCTGCTGGGGGATCTGCTTTTACGAGATTTGCGCCCATTAAATTCATCAATGTTATATCAAAATCTAAAGTTTGCTCTCTGCAGAGGTCTGCTTTTACGAGACCCATTTTAACATAAAGCATCTTTTTGTCAAACTGTTCAGGAAAAAACGGATTTTTATTACCTAACAAACATAAACATAGTTTTAAGAACAATTGTAATGACCAAATACCTACATGTGCAACATCCTAATGTGTGAAAGCATCTTTCATGGTATAGGAGTGTTACATATTAAGGCTGTATAATCTGTAACAAAAACAAAAATTATTAATAGTTTACGCTTTAAATCCAGACTCTTTGCTGTTGCAATCAATTCAGAAAATAATGTGATGCATGTTTTATGTTAAATCCCAAAATAGAGAAAAGTATATAATTACAATTACTATACGTTCTTATTAAAATATTCAGCATTAAGAGTATAAATTTGAATGAAAGAAATTTTAGACCAATTTGTTATAAAGCTTCAATCTGTTGTTTCAGGAAAAAACAGATTTTTATTACCTAACAAATATAAATATAGTTTGAAGGAAAATTGTAATGACCAAATACGTACATGTGACTTATCCTAATGTGCATCTGCAATGGAAGCATCTTTCATGGTATAGGAGTCTTACATATTCAGGCTGTATCTGTAATGAAAACAAAAAAAATAAACATTAATTTCAGCTTTTAATCCAGACTATTTGCTGTTGCAATCAATTCAGAAATTAATGTGATGCATGTTGTAATGTCAAATCCTTAATTGGAGACAAGAATTTTTACAATCACTATACATTCTTATTAAAATATATCTCATTACAGTGAATATTTCAATAAATGTAATGTAGGACCAATTTGTAATAAAATTTCAAGCTGTTGTTCCAGGAAAAACTGATTTTTATTACCTAACAAATATAAACATAGTTTTAAGAACAATTGTTATGAATAAAAACCTACATGTGACTAATCCTAATGTGCTATCTGCAATGGAAGCATCTTTCATGGTATAGGAGTCTTACATATTTAGGCAGAATCTGTAACAAAAACAAATATTTTAAATTAGTTTCAGCTTTAAATTCAAAGCTATTTGCTGTTGCAATCAATTCAGAAATTAATGTGATGCATGTTTTATGTCAAATCCTAAATTGGAGACGTATATTTACAATAACTATACATTCTTATTAAAATATACTTCATTAGGATATAAATAGGAATAAAAGAAATTTTAGACCAATTTGTTATAAAGCTTCAATCTGTTGTTTCAGTGAAAACTGATTTTAATGCCTAACAAATACTAGAGGCTCTAAGGAGCCTGTGTCGCTCACCTGATATTTTTATTTACAATTGATGCATGAAATAATGCAACCGTTATACATTTGCTTTAGTTTCAAAGATACAAGTCAAATACTGCATTTCCCCCAAAGTTCTATTTTTAGCCATGTCTGACATGTTGGTTGACAGGCAGGGTCATCGGACACATTTATTAAACTAGATTCCCTAGTGATGAATGTGGCCAAGTTTGGTTAAATTTGTCTCAGTTGTTTCAGGAGAGAAGATTTTTGTAAAAGATTACAAAAATTTACGAATAATTGTTAAATTTGACTTTAAAGGGCAATAACTCCTTATGGGGTCAATTGACCATATTGGTCATGTTGACTTCTTTGTAGATCTGACTTTGCTGAACATAATGGCTGTTTACAGTTTATCTCCATCTATAATAATATTCAAGATAACAAAAAACTGCAAAATTTCCTTAAAATTACTAATTCAGGGGCAGCAACCCAACAAAGGGTTGTCTGATTCATCTGAAAATTTCAGGGCAGATAGATCTTCACCTGATGAACATTTTTACCCATGGTCAGATTTGCTCTAAATGCTTTAGTTTCAGAGATATAAGCCAAAAACTGCATTTTACCCCTATGTTCTATTTTTAGCCATGTCGGCCATCTTGGTTGGCAGGCGGGGTCATCAGACACATTTTTAAACGAGATACCCTAGTGATGATTGTGGCCAAGTTTGGTTAAATTTGGCCCAGTAGTTTCAGAGGAGATTTTGGTAAAAGTTAACGGACGACAACGGATGCCAAGTGATGAGAAAAGCTCACTTGGCCCTGTGGGCCAGGTGAGCTAATAAACCTAGTTTAAATAAAAAAATTGTAATGAATAAATACCTACATGTGACTAATCCTAATGTGCTATCTACAATGAAACCATTTTCATTGTCGAAGAGTGTAACATATTTAGGCGTTATCTGTAACAAAAACAAAAGTTGTAAATTAGTATCTGCTTTAAATAGGGAATATTTGATGTTGCAATCAATTCAGAAATTAATGTGATGCATGTTATATGTCAAATCCTAAATTGGAGACTAGAATATTTACAATTACTTAACTTATTACAGTAAATATTTGAATAAAAGAAATGTTCGACAAATTTGTAATAAAATTTTAAACTGTTGTTCAACGGGAAAACTGATTTTTGTTACCCAACACATATAAAAAGAGTTAAAAGTACAATTATAATGACCAAATACCTACATGATACAAATCTTCGTGTGCTGTATACCATGAAAGCATCTTCATTGTCTAGGAGGGTAACATATCTAGTCTGTATCTGTAACAAAAACTATCAATCAGTATCAGCTTTAAATAGAGAATATTGGTTGTTGCAATTAATTCAAAATTAATATGATGCATTTTTGATGAAAAATCCTAATTTGAAGACAAGTATATAAACAATTTCTATACATTATCATTAAAATAATCTTCATAAGAGTATACATTTTAATTGAAGAAATTTTAAATCAATTTGTAATCAAATCTAATTTAAGCTTCCAGGGAAAACTTATTTTTGTTACCTGCAAACCATATAAACATAGTTTAAAGTACAATTAAAAATACCAAATACCTACATGCTACGTATCCAGATGTGTGATCAATCTACCATGAAACCATCTTCATTGTCTAGGAGTGTAACATATTTAGGATGTATCTACAACAAAACAAAATCATCAATTAGTATCAGCTTCAAATAGAGACTATTGGCTGTTGCAACAATTATAAAATAAATGTCACTCATATTTTATGTCAAATCCTAAATTGGACACAAGAATATTTAAAATTACTACGCATTCATGTTAAAATTTACTTCACTAGATTATAAATTTGAACAAAAGAAATATGTACACTAATTTCAAATAATATTTTATTTAAGCTTTTGTTCCAGAGAAAACTGATATTTATTACCCAACACATATAAACATAGTCTAAAGTACAATTGTAATGACTACCTACATGTTAAACATCCTAATGTGCATCTACCATGAAACCATATTCATTGGGTAGGAGTGGAACATATCTGGGCTGTATCTGTTACAAAAGAAAAAATTTAAATTAGCATCAGCTTTAGAGAATATTTAATGGCTGTTAAAAAAATTAAAAAATTAATGTGATTCATGTTTTATGTCAAATCTTAAATTACGGACAATTAATTTACAATTACTCTTTCATTCTTATTAAAATATACCACATTTGAAATTCGAATAATAGATATTTTAGACCAATCTGTAATAAAATTTTAAGCTATTGTTTCAGTGAAAACAGATTTTTATTGACTTCCAAATATTAACATAGTTTTAAGTACAATTGTAATGACCAAATACTTACATGTTGAGTCTTCCTATCTGCCATGAATCCATCTTCTCTGTCTAGGAGTGCAACATATTTAGATGTATCTTTAACAAAAACTATAAATTAATATCAGCTTTAAATACAGACTATTTGCTGTTCCAATTTTTTCAGAATTTAATCTTTGCATGTTGGACAAGAATATTTATAATTACTATACATTCCATTAAGAATATATTTCATTAAAGTATAAATTTGAAGAAATTTTTTTGAGACCAATTTGTAATAAAGTTTCAAATTGGTTGATAATGAAATAGAGCCAGACAAAAAAACTAAATACATTTTACCATAAACACAAGTTATCATACTATGTAATCAGCTCTGCTGGGGGATCTGCTTTTACGAGATTAGCGCCCATTAAATTCATCAATGTTATATCAAAATCTAAAGTTTGCTCTCTGCAGAGGTCTGCTTTTACGAGACCCATTTTAACATAAAGCATCTTTTTGTCAAACTGTTCAGGAAAAAACGGATTTTTATTACCTAACAAACATAAACATAGTTTTAAGAACAATTGTAATGACCAAATACCTACATGTGCAACATCCTAATGTGTGAAAGCATCTTTCATGGTATAGGAGTGTTACATATTAAGGCTGTATAATCTGTAACAAAAACAAAAATTATTAATTAGTTTACGCTTTAAATCCAGACTCTTTGCTGTTGCAATCAATTCAGAAAATAATGTGATGCATGTTTTATGTTAAATCCCAAAATAGAGAAAAGTATATAATTACAATTACTATACGTTCTTATTAAAATATTCAGCATTAAGAGTATAAATTTGAATGAAAGAAATTTTAGACCAATTTGTTATAAAGCTTCAATCTGTTGTTTCAGGAAAAAACAGATTTTTATTACCTAACAAATATAAATATAGTTTGAAGGAAAATTGTAATGACCAAATACGTACATGTGACTTATCCTAATGTGCATCTGCAATGGAAGCATCTTTCATGGTATAGGAGTCTTACATATTTAGGCTGTATCTGTAATGAAAACAAAAAAAATAAACATTAATTTCAGCTTTTAATCCAGACTATTTGCTGTTGCAATCAATTCAGAAATTAATGTGATGCATGTTGTAATGTCAAATCCTTAATTGGAGACAAGAATTTTTACAATCACTATACATTCTTATTAAAATATATCTCATTACAGTGAATATTTCAATAAATGTAATGTAGGACCAATTTGTAATAAAATTTCAAGCTGTTGTTCCAGGAAAAACTGATTTTTATTACCTAACAAATATAAACATAGTTTTAAGAACAATTGTTATGAATAAAAACCTACATGTGACTAATCCTAATGTGCTATCTGCAATGGAAGCATCTTTCATGGTATAGGAGTCTTACATATTTAGGCAGAATCTGTAACAAAAACAAATATTTTAAATTAGTTTCAGCTTCAAATTCAAAGCTATTTGCTGTTGCAATCAATTCAGAAATTAATGTGATGCATGTTTTATGTCAAATCCTAAATTGGAGACGTATATTTACAATAACTATACATTCTTATTAAAATATACTTCATTAGGATATAAATAGGAATAAAAGAAATTTTAGACCAATTTGTTATAAAGCTTCAATCTGTTGTTTCAGTGAAAACTGATTTTAATGCCCAACAAATACTAGAGGCTCTAAGGAGCCTGTGTCGCTCACCTGATATTTTTATTTACAATTGATGCATGAAATAATGCAACCGTTATACATTTGCTTTAGTTTCAGAGATACAAGTCAAAAACTGCATTTCCCCCAAAGTTCTATTTTTAGCCATGTCTGACATGTTGGTTGGCAGGCAGGGTCATCGGACACATTTATTAAACTAGATACCCTAGTGATGATTGTGGCCAAGTTTGGTTAAATTTGTCTCAGTTGTTTCAGGAGAGAAGATTTTTGTAAAAGATTACAAAAATTTACTAATAATTGTTAAATTTGACTTTAAAGGGCAATAACTCCTTATGGGGTCAATTGACCATATTGGTCATGTTGACTTCTTTGTAGATCTGACTTTGCTGAACATAATGGCTGTTTACAGTTTATCTCCATCTATAATAATATTCAAGATAACAAAAAACTGCCAAATTTCCTTAAAATTACTAATTCAGGGGCAGCAACCCAACAAAGGGTTGTCTGATTCATCTGAAAATTTCAGGGCAGATAGATCTTAACCTGATGAACATTTTTACCCAGTCAGATTTGCTCTAAATGCTTTAGTTTCAGAGATATAAGCCAAAAACTGCATTTTACCCCTATGTTCTATTTTTAGCCATGTCGGCCATCTTGGTTGGCAGGCGGGGTCATCGGACACATTTTTAAAACGAGATACCCTAGTGATGATTGTGGCCAAGTTTGGTTAAATTTGGCCCAGTAGTTTCAGAGGAGATTTTGGTAAAAGTTAACGGACGACAACGGATGCCAAGTGATGAGAAAAGCTCACTTGGCCCTGTGGGCCAGGTGAGCTAATAAACCTAGTTTAAATAAAAAAATTGTAATGAATAAATACCTACATGTGACTAATCCTAATGTGCTATCTACAATGAAACCATTTTCATTGTCGAAGAGTGTAACATATTTAGGCGTTATCTGTAACAAAAACAAAAGTTGTAAATTAGTATCTGCTTTAAATAGGGAATATTTGATGTTGCAATCAATTCAGAAATTAATGTGATGCATGTTATATGTCAAATCCTAAATTGGAGACTAGAATATTTACAATTACTTAACTTATTACAGTAAATATTTGAATAAAAGAAATGTTCGACAAATTTGTAATAAAATTTTAAACTGTTGTTCAACGGGAAAACTGATTTTTGTTACCCAACACATATAAAAAGAGTTAAAAGTACAATTATAATGACCAAATACCTACATGATACAAATCTTCGTGTGCTGTATACCATGAAAGCATCTTCATTGTCTAGGAGGGTAACATATCTAGTCTGTATCTGTAACAAAAACTATCAATCAGTATCAGCTTTAAATAGAGAATATTGGTTGTTGCAATTAATTCAAAATTAATATGATGCATTTTTGATGAAAAATCCTAATTTGAAGACAAGTATATAAACAATTTCTATACATTATCATTAAAATAATCTTCATAAGAGTATACATTTTAATTGAAGAAATTTTAAATCAATTTGTAATCAAATCTAATTTAAGCTTCCAGGGAAAACTTATTTTTGTTACCTGCAAACCATATAAACATAGTTTAAAGTACAATTAAAAATACCAAATACCTACATGCTACGTATCCAGATGTGTGATCAATCTACCATGAAACCATCTTCATTGTCTAGGAGTGTAACATATTTAGGATGTATCTACAACAAAACAAAATCATCAATTAGTATCAGCTTCAAATAGAGACTATTGGCTGTTGCAACAATTATAAAATAAATGTCACTCATATTTTATGTCAAATCCTAAATTGGACACAAGAATATTTAAAATTACTACGCATTCATGTTAAAATTTACTTCACTAGATTATAAATTTGAACAAAAGAAATATGTACACTAATTTCAAATAATATTTTATTTAAGCTTTTGTTCCAGAGAAAACTGATATTTATTACCCAACACATATAAACATAGTCTAAAGTACAATTGTAATGACTACCTACATGTTAAACATCCTAATGTGCATCTACCATGAAACCATATTCATTGGGTAGGAGTGGAACATATCTGGGCTGTATCTGTTACAAAAGAAAAAATTTAAATTAGCATCAGCTTTAGAGAATATTTAATGGCTGTTAAAAAAATTAAAAAATTAATGTGATTCATGTTTTATGTCAAATCTTAAATTACGGACAATTAATTTACAATTACTCTTTCATTCTTATTAAAATATACCACATTTGAAATTCGAATAATAGATATTTTAGACCAATCTGTAATAAAATTTTAAGCTATTGTTTCAGTGAAAACAGATTTTTATTGACTTCCAAATATTAACATAGTTTTAAGTACAATTGTAATGACCAAATACTTACATGTTGAGTCTTCCTATCTGCCATGAATCCATCTTCTCTGTCTAGGAGTGCAACATATTTAGATGTATCTTTAACAAAAACTATAAATTAATATCAGCTTTAAATACAGACTATTTGCTGTTCCAATTTTTTCAGAATTTAATCTTTGCATGTTGGACAAGAATATTTATAATTACTATACATTCCATTAAGAATATATTTCATTAGAGTATAAATTTGAAGAAATTTTTTTGAGACCAATTTGTAATAAAGTTTCAAATTGGTTGATAATGAAATAGAGCCAGACAAAAAAACTAAATACATTTTACCATAAACACAAGTTATCATACTATGTAATCAGCTCTGCTGGGGGATCTGCTTTTACGAGATTAGCGCCCATTAAATTCATCAATGTTATATCAAAATCTAAAGTTTGCTCTCTGCAGAGGTCTGCTTTTACGAGACCCATTTTAACATAAAGCATCTTTTTGTCAAACTGTTCAGGAAAAAACGGATTTTTATTACCTAACAAACATAAACATAGTTTTAAGAACAATTGTAATGACCAAATACCTACATGTGCAACATCCTAATGTGTGAAAGCATCTTTCATGGTATAGGAGTGTTACATATTAAGGCTGTATAATCTGTAACAGAAACAAAAATTATTAATTAGTTTACGCTTTAAATCCAGACTCTTTGCTGTTGCAATCAATTCAGAAAATAATGTGATGCATGTTTTATGTTAAATCCCAAAATAGAGAAAAGTATATAATTACAATTACTATACGTTCTTATTAAAATATTCAGCATTAAGAGTATAAATTTGAATGAAAGAAATTTTAGACCAATTTGTTATAAAGCTTCAATCTGTTGTTTCAGGAAAAAACAGATTTTTATTACCTAACAAATATAAATATAGTTTGAAGGAAAATTGTAATGACCAAATACGTACATGTGACTTATCCTAATGTGCATCTGCAATGGAAGCATCTTTCATGGTATAGGAGTCTTACATATTTAGGCTGTATCTGTAATGAAAACAAAAAAAATAAACATTAATTTCAGCTTTTAATCCAGACTATTTGCTGTTGCAATCAATTCAGAAATTAATGTGATGCATGTTGTAATGTCAAATCCTTAATTGGAGACAAGAATTTTTACAATCACTATACATTCTTATTAAAATATATCTCATTACAGTGAATATTTCAATAAATGTAATGTAGGACCAATTTGTAATAAAATTTCAAGCTGTTGTTCCAGGAAAAACTGATTTTTATTACCTAACAAATATAAACATAGTTTTAAGAACAATTGTTATGAATAAAAACCTACATGTGACTAATCCTAATGTGCTATCTGCAATGGAAGCATCTTTCATGGTATAGGAGTCTTACATATTTAGGCAGAATCTGTAACAAAAACAAATATTTTAAATTAGTTTCAGCTTCAAATTCAAAGCTATTTGCTGTTGCAATCAATTCAGAAATTAATGTGATGCATGTTTTATGTCAAATCCTAAATTGGAGACGTATATTTACAATAACTATACATTCTTATTAAAATATACTTCATTAGGATATAAATAGGAATAAAAGAAATTTTAGACCAATTTGTTATAAAGCTTCAATCTGTTGTTTCAGTGAAAACTGATTTTAATGCCCAACAAATACTAGAGGCTCTAAGGAGCCTGTGTCGCTCACCTGATATTTTTATTTACAATTGATGCATGAAATAATGCAACCGTTATACATTTGCTTTAGTTTCAGAGATACAAGTCAAAAACTGCATTTCCCCCAAAGTTCTATTTTTAGCCATGTCTGACATGTTGGTTGGCAGGCAGGGTCATCGGACACATTTATTAAACTAGATACCCTAGTGATGATTGTGGCCAAGTTTGGTTAAATTTGTCTCAGTTGTTTCAGGAGAGAAGATTTTTGTAAAAGATTACAAAAATTTACTAATAATTGTTAAATTTGACTTTAAAGGGCAATAACTCCTTATGGGGTCAATTGACCATATTGGTCATGTTGACTTCTTTGTAGATCTGACTTTGCTGAACATAATGGCTGTTTACAGTTTATCTCCATCTATAATAATATTCAAGATAACAAAAAACTGCCAAATTTCCTTAAAATTACTAATTCAGGGGCAGCAACCCAACAAAGGGTTGTCTGATTCATCTGAAAATTTCAGGGCAGATAGATCTTAACCTGATGAACATTTTTACCCAGTCAGATTTGCTCTAAATGCTTTAGTTTCAGAGATATAAGCCAAAAACTGCATTTTACCCCTATGTTCTGTTTTTAGCCATGTCGGCCATCTTGGTTGGCAGGCGGGGTCATCGGACACATTTTTAAAACGAGATACCCTAGTGATGATTGTGGCCAAGTTTTGTTAAATTTGGCCCAGTAGTTTCAGAGGAGATTTTTGTAAAAGTTAACGGACGATGACAGACGCCAAGTGATGAGAAAAGCTCACTTGGCCCTGTGGGCCAGGTGAGCTAATAAACCTAGTTGAAATAAAAAAATTGTAATGAATAAATACCTACATGTGACTAATCCTAATGTGCTATCTACAATGAAACCATTTTCATTGTCGAAGAGTGTAACATATTTAGGCGTTATCTGTAACAAAAACAAAAATTGTAAATTAGTATCAGCTTTAAATAGGGAATATTTGATGTTGCAATCAATTCAGAAATTAATGTGATGCATGTTTTATGTCAAATCCTAAATTGGAGACTAGAATATTTACAATTACTTAACTTATTACAGTAAATATTTGAATAAAAGAAATGTTCGACAAATTTGTAATAAAATTTTAAACTGTTGTTCAACGGGAAAACTGATTTTTGTTACCCAACACATATAAAAAGAGTTAAAAGTACAATTATAATGACCAAATACCTACATGATACAAATCTTCGTGTGCTGTATACCATGAAAGCATCTTCATTGTCTAGGAGGGTAACATATCTAGTCTGTATCTGTAACAAAAACAAAAACTCTAAATCAGTATCAGCTTTAAATAGAGAATATTGGTTGTTGCAATTAATTCAAAATTAATATGATGCATTTTTAATGAAAAATCCTAATTTGAAGACAAGTATATAAACAATTTCTATACATTATCATTAAAATAATCTTCATAAGAGTATACATTTTAATTGAAGAAATTTTAAATCAATTTGTAATCAAATCTAATTTAAGCTTCCAGGGAAAACTTATTTTTGTTACCTGCAAACCATATAAACATAGTTTAAAGTACAATTAAAAATACCAAATACCTACATGCTACGTATCCAGATGTGTGATCAATCTACCATGAAACCATCTTCATTGTCTAGGAGTGTAACATATTTAGGCTGTATCTATAACAAAACCAAATCATCAATTAGTATCAGCTTCAAATAGAGACTATTGGCTGTTGCAACAATTATAAAATAAATGTCACTCATATTTTATGTCAAATCCTAAATTGGACACAAGAATATTTAAAATTACTACGCATTCATGTTAAAATTTACTTCACTAGATTATAAATTTGAACAAAAGAAATATGTACACTAATTTGAAATAATATTTTATTTAAGCTTTTGTTCCAGAGAAAACTGATATTTATTACCCAACACATATAAACATAGTCTAAAGTACAATTGTAATGACTACCTACATGTTAAACATCCTAATGTGCATCTACCATGAAACCATATTCATTGGGTAGGAGTGGAACATATCTGGGCTGTATCTGTTACAAAAGAAAAAATTTAAATTAGCATCAGCTTTAGAGAATATTTAATGGCTATTAAAAAAATTAAAAAATTAATGTGATTCATGTTTTATGTCAAATCTTAAATTACGGACAATTAATTTACAATTACTCTTTCATTCTTATTAAAATATACCACATTTGAAATTCGAATAAAAGATATTTTAGACCAATCTGTAATAAAATTTTAAGCTATTGTTTCAGTGAAAACAGATTTTTATTGACTTCCAAATATTAACATAGTTTTAAGTACAATTGTAATGACCAAATACTTACATGTTGACTCTTCCTATCTGCCATGAATCCATCTTCTCTGTCTAGGAGTGCAACATATTTAGATGTATCTTTAACAAAAACTATAAATTAATATCAGCTTTAAATACAGACTATTTGCTGTTCCAATTTTTTCAGAATTTAATCTTTGCATGTTGGACAAGAATATTTATAATTACTATACATTCCATTAAGAATATATTTCATTAGAGTATAAATTTGAAGAAATTTTTTTGAGACCAATTTGAAATAAGTTTCAAATTGGTTGATAATGAAATAGAGCCAGACAAAAAAACTAAATACATTTTACCATAAACACAAGTTATCATACTATGTAATCAGCTCTGCTGGGGGATCTGCTTTTACGAGATTAGCGCCCATTAAATTCATCAATGTTATATCAAAATCTAAAGTTTGCTCTCTGCAGAGGTCTGCTTTTACGAGACCCATTTTAACATAAAGCATCTTTTTGTCAAACTGTTCAGGAAAAAACGGATTTTTATTACCTAACAAACATAAACATAGTTTTAAGAACAATTGTAATGACCAAATACCTACATGTGCAACATCCTAATGTGTGAAAGCATCTTTCATGGTATAGGAGTGTTACATATTAAGGCTGTATAATCTGTAACAAAAACAAAAATTATTAATTAGTTTACGCTTTAAATCCAGACTCTTTGCTGTTGCAGTCAAGTCAGAAAATAATGTGATGCATGTTTTATGTTAAATCCCAAAAGAGAGAAAAGTATATAATTACAATTACTATACGTTCTTATTAAAATATTCAGCATTAAGAGTATAAATTTGAATGAAAGAAATTTTAGACCAATTTGTTATAAAGCTTCAATCTGTTGTTTCAGGAAAAAACAGATTTTTATTACCTAACAAATATAAATATAGTTTGAAGGAAAATTGTAATGACCAAATACGTACATGTGACTTATCCTAATGTGCATCTGCAATGGAAGCATCTTTCATGGTATAGGAGTCTTACATATTCAGGCTGTATCTGTAATGAAAACAAAAAAAATAAACATTAATTTCAGCTTTTAATCCAGACTATTTGCTGTTGCAATCAATTCAGAAATTAATGTGATGCATGTTGTAATGTCAAATCCTTAATTGGAGACAAGAATTTTTACAATCACTATACATTCTTATTAAAATATATCTCATTACAGTGAATATTTCAATAAATGTAATGTAGGACCAATTTGTAATAAAATTTCAAGCTGTTGTTCCAGGAAAAACTGATTTTTATTACCTAACAAATATAAACATAGTTTTAAGAACAATTGTTATGAATAAAAACCTACATGTGACTAATCCTAATGTGCTATCTGCAATGGAAGCATCTTTCATGGTATAGGAGTCTTACATATTTAGGCAGAATCTGTAACAAAAACAAATATTTTAAATTAGTTTCAGCTTCAAAATCAAAGCTATTTGCTGTTGCAATCAATTCAGAAATTAATGTGATGCATGTTTTATGTCAAATCCTAAATTGGAGACGTATATTTACAATAACTATACATTCTTATTAAAATATACTTCATTAGGATATAAATAGGAATAAAAGAAATTTTAGACCAATTTGTTATAAAGCTTCAATCTGTTGTTTCAGTGAAAACTGATTTTAATGCCTAACAAATACTAGAGGCTCTAAGGAGCCTGTGTCGCTCACCTGATATTTTTATTTACAATTGATGCATGAAATAATGCAACCGTTATACATTTGCTTTAGTTTCAGAGATACAAGTCAAAAACTGCATTTCCCCCAAAGTTCTATTTTTAGCCATGTCTGACATGTTGGTTGGCAGGCAGGGTCATCGGACACATTTATTAAACTAGATACCCTAGTGATGATTGTGGCCAAGTTTGGTTAAATTTGTCTCAGTTGTTTCAGGAGAGAAGATTTTTGTAAAAGATTACAAAAATTTACTAATAATTGTTAAATTTGACTTTAAAGGGCAATAACTCCTTATGGGGTCAATTGACCATATTGGTCATGTTGACTTCTTTGTAGATCTGACTTTGCTGAACATAATGGCTGTTTACAGTTTATCTCCATCTATAATAATATTCAAGATAACAAAAAACTGCAAAATTTCCTTAAAATTACTAATTCAGGGGCAGCAACCCAACAAAGGGTTGTCTGATTCATCTGAAAATTTCAGGGCAGATAGATCTTAACCTGATGAACATTTTTACCTATGGTCAGATTTGCTCTAAATGCTTTAGTTTCAGAGATATAAGCCAAAAACTGCATTTTACCCCTATGTTCTATTTTTAGCCATGTCGGCTATCTTGGTTGGCAGGCGGGGTCATCGGACACATTTTTAAAACGAGATACCCTAGTGATGATTGTGGCCAAGTTTTGTTAAATTTGGCCCAGTAGTTTCAGAGGAGATTTTTGTAAAAGTTAACGGACGACGACGGACGCCAGTGATGAGAAAAGCTCACTTGGCCCTGTGGGCCAGGTGAGCTAATAAACCTAGTTTAAATAAAAAAATTGTAATGAATAAATACCTACATGTGACTAATCCTAATGTGCTATCTACAATGAAACCATTTTCATTGTCGAAGAGTGTAACATATTTAGGCGTTATCTGTAACAAAAACAAAAATTGTAAATTAGTATCAGCTTTAAATAGGGAATATTTGATGTTGCAATCAATTCAGAAATTAATGTGATGCATGTTTTATGTCAAATCCTAAATTGGAGACTAGAATATTTACAATTACTTAACTTATTACAGTAAATATTTGAATAAAAGAAATGTTCGACAAATTTGTAATAAAATTTTAAACTGTTGTTCAACGGGAAAACTGATTTTTGTTACCCAACACATATAAAAAGAGTTAAAAGTACAATTATAATGACCAAATACCTACATGATACAAATCTTCGTGTGCTGTATACCATGAAAGCATCTTCATTGTCTAGGAGGGTAACATATCTAGTCTGTATCTGTAACAAAAACAAAAACTCTAAATCAGTATCAGCTTTAAATAGAGAATATTGGTTGTTGCAATTAATTCAAAATTAATATGATGCATTTTTGATGAAAAATCCTAATTTGAAGACAAGTACATAAACAATTTCTATACATTATCATTAAAATAATCTTCATAAGAGTATACATTTTAATTGAAGAAATTTTAAATCAATTTGTAATCAAATCTAATTTAAGCTTCCAGGGAAAACTTATTTTTGTTACCTGCAAACCATATAAACATAGTTTAAAGTACAATTAAAAATACCAAATACCTACATGCTACGTATCCAGATGTGTGATCAATCTACCATGAAACCATCTTCATTGTCTAGGAGTGTAACATATTTAGGCTGTATCTATAACAAAACCAAATCATCAATTAGTATCAGCTTCAAATAGAGACTATTGGCTGTTGCAACAATTATAAAATAAATGTCACTCATATTTTATGTCAAATCCTAAATTGGACACAAGAATATTTAAAATTACTACGCATTCATGTTAAAATTTACTTCACTAGATTATAAATTTGAACAAAAGAAATATGTACACTAATTTGAAATAATATTTTATTTAAGCTTTTGTTCCAGAGAAAACTGATATTTATTACCCAACACATATAAACATAGTCTAAAGTACAATTGTAATGACTACCTACATGTTAAACATCCTAATGTGCATCTACCATGAAACCATATTCATTGGGTAGGAGTGGAACATATCTGGGCTGTATCTGTTACAAAAGAAAAAATTTAAATTAGCATCAGCTTTAGAGAATATTTAATGGCTGTTAAAAAAATTAAAAAATTAATGTGATTCATGTTTTATGTCAAATCTTAAATTACGGACAATTAATTTACAATTACTCTTTCATTCTTATTAAAATATACCACATTTGAAATTCGAATAAAAGATATTTTAGACCAATCTGTAATAAAATTTTAAGCTATTGTTTCAGTGAAAACAGATTTTTATTGACTTCCAAATATTAACATAGTTTTAAGTACAATTGTAATGACCAAATACTTACATGTTGACTCTTCCTATCTGCCATGAATCCATCTTCTCTGTCTAGGAGTGCAACATATTTAGATGTATCTTTAACAAAAACTATAAATTAATATCAGCTTTAAATACAGACTATTTGCTGTTCCAATTTTTTCAGAATTTAATCTTTGCATGTTGGACAAGAATATTTATAATTACTATACATTCCATTAAGAATATATTTCATTAGAGTATAAATTTGAAGAAATTTTTTTGAGACCAATTTGAAATAAGTTTCAAATTGGTTGATAATGAAATAGAGCCAGACAAAAAAACTAAATACATTTTACCATAAACACAAGTTATCATACTATGTAATCAGCTCTGCTGGGGGATCTGCTTTTACGAGATTAGCGCCCATTAAATTCATCAATGTTATATCAAAATCTAAAGTTTGCTCTCTGCAGAGGTCTGCTTTTACGAGACCCATTTTAACATAAAGCATCTTTTTGTCAAACTGTTCAGGAAAAAACGGATTTTTATTACCTAACAAACATAAACATAGTTTTAAGAACAATTGTAATGACCAAATACCTACATGTGCAACATCCTAATGTGTGAAAGCATCTTTCATGGTATAGGAGTGTTACATATTAAGGCTGTATAATCTGTAACAAAAACAAAAATTATTAATTAGTTTACGCTTTAAATCCAGACTCTTT